ACAGAGAATTATAATAATATTCTAACTTATAAGTAATCTGGGTGAAGGATCTATAGTAATATTTTGTACTCCCTATTCAGGTTTTAATTAAGTCTGAAATTATGTCAAAATAAAAAGCTAAACTAGGTGTACAAAAATTGAGTCTTGGGACCAGCAGTTAGAGTAATGGCTATGTCGCTGAACTCCCACGTAGTCGACCGAGGTTCAAGTCTCAGACCCAGTGACTTAAACTCATGCTGGGCATGTGTGTGTGCGTGCCCAAGATTCTGAGAAGAGAATGGAGGAGAAGGGATTGAGGTGTGGCCATCCCCCCTGTGGGATAATTTCTCGCTTTCTATCTCTGTCTCTCTCTCTGTCTTTCTGGCGAGCATACGCACCCTGTAGGAAAAAAAACTCTCAAAAATAAATAAATAAATAAATAAATCATTTGAGTCTTGAAGCCTCTTTCTCTTTGTTTTTTCTTTCATTTATTTATTTTTACGTTTTTTCACAAGCATTTACTTTACATAGCAAAAAATTTTAGCTCATAATCCATAATTCTTGACAGTTAACAAACAACTTTCAAAATTTCAAAATACTGAATTTTAAAGATAATGTTCAAAATGTGTCTTATAATTTTGTATAATTTTATGACTCTATAACAACAGAAGCAGTATGGTTTCAAATATATAGAGAGAGAGTGCAGACACTTGGTATATATTAAGTGGGGACATACAATGCCTCTCCTTCATAGCATGGCTTGCTTCACTCAGCAATAAGTCTTCCATATTCATCCACTTCCCTTTCTCTTACACGCTAGATTCAATTATGTCAGAAAATCCAAGTCTAGTCATCTCTTATCACATTCATTGCTATGAAGCCTGATGATGCAGATGAATCATGAATTATTAATTTTTACAAAATAGTTTCATTTCACATTAATCTTTTATTTTTTTTCCATGAAGAGAACATTATTTTTATAATTTTGTCATTTCCAAAATGAAATACTATTGAACTTTTACTTCCATCATTTCTGTTAAGAAGTTGATGGTCTGGTTTACTGTCTTTCTTTCCTATGTCTACACTTAATATTTTCTCTTTATAGTTCTAGAATTTTGATTAAAATGTGCTTTGATATGGTTTTGTTTTTGTTTATCCTGTCCCAAGTGTTCTAGGATTTTCATGGTTTTTGGTGTAAACATTCTTTCAGTATTTTTCTCTCATGACTGCAATTTCACATGCATTTTCCTGCTGGGTTTATAGCACATTTTGTTCCTCCGTTAACTGTTTTTATTTTTCTGCTTTGTTTTGGGTTTGTGCTTCAGTTCAGGTATCTTATATTAACTAGTCATTTAATTCACCAATACTACCTTTTTAGTTTCAATCTCCTATTGAGATTTTAATTTCGAATATTATAGCTTTCCACTATGAGAATGTTCATTTGTTTGTTTTTAGAGATTCAAATTCTCTAGTAAACCTTAAATCACATCTATTTTGCCCATGCTTTTCTATAACTGTTGAGCCCATTTATTATAGTTATGTTAAAAACTTGATCTGGTAATCACTTATTTAGATGATATATGTAACTTTATTTTTTTATGTCTTTTCTTAATTATAAACAGTATTTTCTTACCTTTTTACAAGTCTAGTAATTTTTTTAATTCTATGTCAGACATTGTATATAAAGAACTACAGAGGGAGCCAGCAGATAGCATGGGAGTTAAGGCATCTAGGCGCCACATGGCCAATTGTGGGCTTCAGTTCCCATACCAGTGGCTTGTGAAACATGCTGGTCACATGTGTGCCCAAAATCCTGAGAGAAGAATGGAGGAGAAGGGATTGTGGAATGGCCATTCTCCCCCCCCCTCCCGGGGGGGGGCTATTTTTGCTTTTCCCCTCTCTCTCTGTCTCTTTCTGGCATGCACACATGCCCTATAACAGAAGAAGAAAGGAAGAAAGAGAAAAAAAAAGAAGAAGTGAAAAAGGAAAGAAAGAAAGAAAGAAAGAAGAGGGAGAGGAAGTAAGGGAAAAAATAAGATTGAAAGAAAGAAGAAAAAAAGAGAAAGAAAAGAAAAAGAACACTATAACTGTTGAGCCCATTTATTATAGTTATGTTAAAAACTTGATCTGGTAATCACTTATTTAGATGATATATGTAACTTTATTTTTTTATGTCTTTTCTTAATTATAAACAGTATTTTCTTACCTTTTTACAAGTCTAGTAATTTTTTTAATTCTATGTCAGACATTGTATATAAAGAACTACAGAGGGAGCCAGCAGATAGCATGGGAGTTAAGGCATCTAGGCGCCACATGGCCAATTGTGGGCTTCAGTTCCCATACCAGTGGCTTGTGAAACATGCTGGTCACATGTGTGCCCAAAATCCTGAGAGAAGAATGGAGGAGAAGGGATTGTGGAATGGCCATTCTCCCCCCCCCTCCCGGGGGGGGGCTATTTTTGCTTTTCCCCTCTCTCTCTGTCTCTTTCTGGCATGCACACATGCCCTATAACAGAAGAAGAAAGGAAGAAAGAGAAAAAAAAAGAAGAAGTGAAAAAGGAAAGAAAGAAAGAAAGAAAGAAGAGGGAGAGGAAGTAAGGGAAAAAATAAGATTGAAAGAAAGAAGAAAAAAAGAGAAAGAAAAGAAAAAGAACAGGAAGAAAAACAGGAAGAAAGGAAGAAAAAGACAAAGAACCATACAGGTGCAGTTGAAATGACCTTTTTCCAATTTTTTTCAGTGAATAGGAAGGGGTGTAATCACTTAAATGAAGAATTAAAAGGATTCATAGCTTTGGTAACACTCAGTTACCCCAGCCTGTAATCTATAGGAAATTTGGCTTTTCCTGAAATGTTTATATTTCCTTTACTTAACACCTTAGAAAATACAGTTTGGCGAATATCTTGAAGGTGACACTACCTGTGTATTTAAGGCTCATGTCTTTTACATTGTGTCATTATTAATAAAAGCTCCACTGGTTTCTCCATCCTAAAGTCAGAGCCTTCAGTCAACGGCCAAACATGGTTTTGTAGCTCCCAGCCATTCTCAGAATCAGTCACTGTCACGAGGTGTGACAGTCTGCAGATCTAGTTGTCAGTACCTACTCCTGCTCCCTCTGTAGCTGTCCCTGATGGATTATTTGTTTGTTTTACAGCCCCTTCATCTGGCTAGTCTTTATTTCCAAAAAAATAAAATAGAAAGAAAGAAAAAAATCCTGAGAAACGAGAAGTCTGTTTTTTAATTTCAGAATTTTGTGGGAACCAGCAGTTAGCATAATGGCTATGTCGCTGGACTCCCACGTAGTCGACCGCGGTTCGCGTCTCGGACCCGGTGGCTTAAATCTCACGCCGGGCGCGTGTGCGTGCGTGCCCAAGATCCCGAGAGGAGAATGGAGGAGAAGGGATTGCGGCGTGACCATCCCCCCTGGGGGGTGATTTCTCGCTTTCTGTCTCTATGTCTCTGTCTGTCTGGTGAGTGCACGCGCCCTATAGTGAAAACCTCTCCAAAAAAAAAAGAAAAAAAAA